GTATTGGTCGTGTGTCTCAAAACCGGATTGCAGTCGAGCCCATGCGACCCTCGTTCGGGGAGTCCAGATGCACCTACGAACCGGGGCTTCGTCGAAATATCGATATATGGTTCAGAATCTACTTCGGGTCGATTGCTCTGTGAGCATTTTTGCGATCATCGTCTTCAAGGGTCACTAGCAGCCCGCGTCGTTCCGAGCAGACGAGCGAAAGCATTCGGCGTGTTCTCGACGAGGAGCTCGCTTCGACGACTTTGAATCTAAACACACTCTGGAGTTTTTTCTTTTTTCCTCTTTTGTGGGAATGGCTCAGATTGAATTTGAACCTTTCGTCGGTTCATGAGTGTCCCGCGCGCGCTCACCCGCCGACTGAAGCGGAGAGTGAGCGGAAGGGTCGACTGCTGGTGCTCGCAATTTCATTCTCAGTCAGAGAAAAAAAAGAAATGAAGAAAGGCTACTTCGACTGGTCTCGCTGGCTATAGGCTGGATGTCTTGTTGCTGAGAGTGAACGCCCACGAACCTCTCCTATTTGCCAGTCTCGAGTTGCTGCTGTGATGTTGTTCTCACTGAGATAGATTCGATGGATGGATGGAGGGATTGATCGCCGCGAATTCGCCACTTCGCCCGCGATCGATAATTCCAGTCAGGGACTAGACACAGAGTCCAGTCGGATAAGACGAATCTCTTCCTCTCTCTCTGTCTTCCGGAAAAAAACTGATGTAGCCCTCGAGCGGTCTGTGGCGAAATGAAAACAACGCGATTATTACTCGGAGAACAATGACTCGATTCAAAACAGACAGGAACTAGCGGAAGAAGAATGCCTGGAGTCTGCGTGGCACTCGCTTGAACACATTTTCGTAGAGCTGTATTTTTAGCACAAACAGCGCCGCGTCCCTTTTCGCTTCAATCGCTGAAACTTGTCGGACTTTCTCGAGCGGTGTATTTCTGATGTCATTCATACCTAATTATATTCGGCTTGTTTGATTGCTCACGGGCTCAGCAGCTTGGATGTTCGATGGCGTCGACTTCCACACGTTTTGGGCCTAAGCATCCTCTCTGAACCCGATTTCCCTTGGCCTCGAACAAGGTACTGCACAAAAATACACGAGAAGCTGATAAAAATGCACAAATAGTCACCGGGCCGAATTATGAACAGAAAGAGGCTATCAGGGGCACGAGGAGTGTTTGATACACTGTTGCTACCAAATTCCACTATCGACGGTGATCATGGCGGCTGCAGCGACGACGGCGCGGCGTCGGAACGATGACACACCGCTCGCGAATGAGAGTGGTCACTCACGACCGGACTCGTAGATGAACCGGGATGGGCGAACAAGGTGGAATAATCACCGCATTCAGAAGCGCCTCGATCATCCGAGCTCAGAATCCTCTCCTTATAGTTTTGTAGTTTCTCCCCATCAGTGAATCGGAGAAGCTAGCCGCGGATTTTTTTCGAGGAGTCTCGTCACCGAGAGAGCTCGCAGGGATTCCGTCAGAAGACCCGGCAAGCTGGCGGTCGGTCGGGCGGGCACTTGATTGCTCAGCCCGTCTATCAGATAAGGAGCTTCTTCGCGGAATATTGAATTTATTTGCTGAAGATGTCTCGAACGCTATCTGCGGATGCCGCCATCGCGGTATGTTGGTCGCTGCTGATTCCTCGTTTTATCGTCGTGGTTTCGTATTCGCCGTCGTCGTTCCCTTCTGCCCAATACATTCTGGAAAGGCTTCATATTTGACTTCCGATCCTGTTCGAGATTCACAGCTTTGACCCATCGGAGGCTTCGTCGGACCTCGGACCTGCACACTCACTCAGAGTCTCCAGACCTATTCCCGTGGCCGTTCCGTGGGAGTGGTCAAGGAAAAAAGCTGGCGGCTCCGTGAACTCATTGACTCGAACTATTCGTTATACAAACCTTCCATGACTTTCGATCTAATCGGTCAAGCGAGATTGAAACAGACGGAGCGAAGCCTTCTCGGAGGAGAGCCTATCGGTGTGAAAACGAACGGATGAACAAACGATCGAAATACTCGCTGCGGAGGCTAGCGCGGTCTGTGGTGCCTATCGCGGTCGTGGCAACCACCGTCGATCGCAGTTGTGTTACTTGAAACTGAATCTGATAAAGAGGCGCTTTTCGCTCAAGTCGAGTGTTTTATACGAGTGCTGATAATAACACGATTCCCATCGACATGCATCCAAAACAATTATTCATTCAATTTCAACAAGAACCTTAGACTCTCGGATTTGTCGGAGTCGGCATGAGCGTAAGACAATATATAGACGAACGAATTCTCATGTGATAGATCGTCTGACCATCGCTCCGCATTTCTCTCGCCGCTAGCATGTGTGACGGCGAGATGAACTGAAAAAGCGAGCGCCTTCTTCTGACCGAATTAGGTACTGTGGCTTGGTCCCGTGTTGTCCGGGAACGAGGAAACAATACACGGATTTTCGATGAGAAACAGTCGATGTGTCTCGGGAAATAATTCCGTGGACTGATTGTGTAAACGCATCTTCGTCTCATCGGGTCACGCCCAGATGAATTCTGAATAGGAGTGCGGCAGCTGCCATCGGCTTCGACGCCGCTTCACTTACTGTCTTTCTGTCGCGAATGCGGCTCTCGGTTTTCGTTAAATTTCCGCTTGATTCTTGCATTCCTTGCCTTGTGAAGGTCAGTTGATGTCGTCGCTTACGATGGCGGCGAAACAGCGGTGACGGCCCTCGGAGGGAGTGAAGTTCTCTTGTGAAGTTCTCCCGCTGCATCCCCGCCTGCCTGCCTCCCTTCCCGAGTAATAATCATTTTGGGTAGGTGAGCAGCGAGAAGTGAGCAGCGAAACAGGGCGGCAAGCGAACGGCTCAGAAACAAAACGAGAAGCCTTGAGAGACGAAAGATCAACTACCCAAGCAAACTAAACAACGAACAGGAAAACGGACGGCTGGGGGAAAGCTCGAACATTAGGAGCATCCATGAACGCTGTCCACAGTGGAGCGTGATCACGGAGGAACAAACCATGACGTCGTCGATCGGAGCCAATCGAGACACGAGGAAGCCGAGATGCCATCGGGTGGATGAGATTGCTCTCGGATCGTCAACAGCAAGTAATTCCACGTGAAATCCTCGTGAAACATTGAGAGGGTATCGCATCATTCTGTCCGACCGCACCGTTTGCGTCTCACGCCTTTACCTCCTCTTTGCTCGTTCCTCGAGCTGACTGACTGAGTAAGATAAGATTGTGAGACCTCCCTTGAATATTTGTTGCGGTCCTTCGTGGAAGTCCGCGCGAAGAACGCATTGAAACCATATAGGGAGGGAAGAAGATATTATTATATAGAACTCTCCATTGAATTATCAGTCCAGGAAGGGAGATCATCTCGGCAAATTGCTGAGCGAGACGCGGTGCCTTCGGGAAACATCGTTTTCGGGTTACGATGCTTTTACGATTCTGATGAGCGTGTCCAAGAGCGACACTTCAAGTCGCGCTCTTGTTCCGACTACATAAAGGTTTCGCGACATATCGTTCGTTGGGACTCAGAAGAGAGAAATTGATTGAAATCATGAAATATGGACAGGTAGGATACGCGATGATTAAGTGTCTGGTCAATATCGAGGTTGATCCGAGCGAGCGGATCGATGCATGAGCGGCAGCGAAACATGTTACTCGTGGGTTTCGTTTCGTGAATGTAGCAACGCAATGAACGAACCAACTAGACGATAGAGGCACGTTGAATCAACCAAGCGGATCTTCTCCTGCGCCTATCATTCTACGAACGGGAAGAGAATACAGAAAAAGCCAAAGTCGACCCGTTATGAAGCCCACCAAGAATACTTCTATGGCAGTCATTTCGGAATCTTTTCGAGTCGGGGTTCCATAAATCGGGAAGCGACAATCTCAATATTTCAGTTTTTCTGTGAGACTTCCTTCGGTCCCGCTTTCTCAATTTTTCTCCGCAGCGCGAAGCTCTGAGGAAAAAGAGCGGACGGGCAAGGTGTCAGCTTTGGGGCAGATACCTACCCGTCGTGGTAGCATCCCGTATGTGGTCAAAGAGCACCATCGACTAGTCGGTGCGGCGTCCCATTGAAGTGATCTTTCCGAAATGGGCAGCCCACAATGGAAAGCTCTATGAGTGTCCCATGACTGCTTCCGTGCCCGTACTTGGCGTTTTCTTTCTGTCTCATCACTTATCGCTCTCCAGATTGATCATAAGCCAAGTTCTGTCTGGCTATTGGTGATTCTCTATCTCACGTTCCGGTCCCTTCGCGTCTCTTACTAGTTCAGAATAAATAGCGAGTATCTGGATCAACTGTGGATGACCTTAGCAGTTTTCGACGCCCACGACTATTTTCTTCTCGGGATCCATCTGAGTTCCTTTCAATATCGAATCATCGAGTAGAATAAGCCGAAAAGCGAGGAGAGAAAAAAGTAGAGAGTGAAAAAATAACCAAAGACGACGATGGAGACGGCGGCGGTGGTAGCGGCGACGACGACTATGAACAAGAGAAGAAAGACGAAGAGAAGCGGCCAAAACCGAATAGTGCTAAACAGTTGGAAGAGGCCTCTTAGGTAATCGAGCTTGTGCACTGAAACATTGGGTTACATTTCCTCGCTTGGAATATTCCGCTCGTTGCTCAACTAAATAGTGATCGATTCTGGATTTCGTGGCGCTATCGCATTCAACGGGGCGCTCAATAATCTGCTCGTTATAGTTCACACTTTTGCGTCGCATCATTCACGTGATTTCGTAAGCAGCGTTGATAACAGACGAGAAAGAAACTCGTGCGACAGCATTGCATCGCGTACCTCGATAGAACAACCCAGGCAAGAGGGATGACAGTCGAATTCGAAGCACTGGCCGAATAATCAGAAGCCGCGCCCCCCTTCCCTTGCCCCGAACTGTCATTTCTAGATCATGAGTTTACGGATCAGCTTGCTCGAAGTTGATCTTTATCACTGATGGACTTCATCCACTAACCGGCAAATTCCTTTCATTTTTCCAGGTGGCAGCGATGCCTAATGAGATCATATCACTGGCTCCGCAGCTCGTCGAACCCCCTCGTGGTCGGAATGGTCACCGCGTCTTCTATGGGGGTTTCCGCTATGTCAATAAAGACGTGCTCGAGGAACGTTTATTCGACGTCGGCGAGTTTGCTTTCGTCCGGATCACACCCAATGAAGATCCCTGCATCGCCGAGATGCAGCTGTGCTGGAGGGATGAAGTGGCCGAAGTGAACTTGGCTTCCATTCGACTATATTTTCTACCCGAACAGACCGACAGCGGACGCCAGAGCTCCCACGGACAGGTAAGCGTCGCGGCGGTAGCCGTTCGGTTTCCACACCACGTTTCGTCTTGAATCTTTTCCTTCTGGTTTTATCGGGGCGCTTCGTTCGTAAGTCGACCAGTCCCGTAGGGCTGTGAGAGATTCATACTTTCACCTAAGCGTCCAAGAGAACGGGTCCTTCAATTTTTGAAAAATGAATTCTCAAGAATCAGAGCCAGACCGATCGCGGATGACCGCGCACTTTCAGCGGAGGCTGAGTGAATCCGATTCCCAACATCGAATCGTGTCGTATGGCATCTCATCGACCGACATGAATTTTGAAGCCCTTTAATCAGCTTCTGAAATCGAATCGCATCCGCCCGCTCTCGTCTGCCTTGATTCCTGGGGAGAAATAATTTCATGAACCGTCATATTTCCCCCCGAACAACGTTTCATTATTCCTCCAGTCTTCCGAAGTGGCCGCATCGGTGTCTCGACCTTTGCGAAAGTTTTCTGGTCTACCCTCACCCGGAGCAATGGTTGACGGGACGACGGCTTGTAGTTGCTGAATGTTTACTAGAATGAGCGCTCGACGAGCGCGTTAATCACGAACGCGGAGAATTTCCCAACAGTTCCGCAAAAAAAAATAGAAACATTCGACTGGTCGACTTACAATAACGAAAATCTTAAAATATTCAGAATAGCCCTACTTCCTGTAACCGAAGATAGGAGGGTGTAATTTTTGTGACTGATTTCCACATCCGCTTCTCTGGAGACACATATCAGGGATGCGCTGAATTTTCCGCATCACGCTTCGTGCGAAGGAAAGTCTAGCTGAATGTATGTCTTGATGGAAGGGAGAGGAAAAGACGACTTCATTTGCGCGTTCGCTGGTCGTCCGTCAGGCGATCGGTTTGTCGCTTAGGTAGACCATGTGTTTCTCTTTCTGAACTGAACAGGGTCGGCGCCCTCCTTCGTCGAACTCCTCTTTTCGAGATTGTTCATGATTTAGGAAACAATATGACAGCCAGTCGGTCGATCGAACGCTCGCTTAGCCTAGCGCCCACTATCAGTTCTTCTCCGCAAACTGGTGAACAAATTGAGCTGTTCGGAGCCAAATGTGATAGCGGTGATCGCGATCTCGTCTTTGCCACGTATGCTCTACGACGAGCTGACAAAATATCCGTCGGCTAAGCGCGCTTTCAAATTATCTATGGCGTAGGCGCAACCAACTCTCCGGGCCATGTGTCACCATAACGCTGTCAACCTAGTGTCGCAGGTACATGTAAAACCCTGGAATGGGTTAACAGGATCACAGAGGCGTCTTCCGGATGCTGCGTCCGATCGGCAGTCGTTCCCTCACTCACATCAGTCAGTCACGGTATCCGCTTTCGATGAGGCCTTGTGTGTTCTTTTTTTTCCCCAATCTCCTCGAATCGGACTATAATTAGATAGACGGGCCCGTGGTGATACCAGTGCAGCGCTTTGAGGAATCGGTGACCGCTGTTTCCGCTGCTGCTGATTCTATGGTAATCATGAGTGGCTCCATCAGGGTTCGAGCGGTCTTCGGAGAAGTTGAAGTCGTTTTTTTTCTTTCCTCCATTCTCGCTGCCGCTGCTGTTTCTCACTGAAGCAGCAGCGATGAACGAGCAAGCGAGGCTTTCAAATACAGGCCTTGAAAAACGCGCGTTTTTCTGCCTTGGCGGCCGCGGCATCCGAAGGGGCACACCACCGCGCCGGATGCAACGGACTGTGATCAGCAGCACAACCAACAACAACGACAACAAGAGCAGCACTTGGCGTTGCTTGTCGGCTTGTACCATCAGCAAGGATCGCAACAACGACTCAAGCAACGGAACAAAGATCAAGATGACATGATCGAACGCTCAAGTTCAATAGTCACCGATGTCAACTTGTTCCAACACATAAGCACGTTGGAAATTCCTCCTCTTGGAACTTCCCTCCAAAAAGTTTGAATCGCGATGGGGGTCCCAGACCTGGCTGATATGCCTGAGGGATTCGGTCCTGGCGTTCTAGACGCCCTCTCGCTTTTTGATCTTTGGAGGAACCATCATGAGGCTCAAAGTAGGAGTCGGGGCAATATATCCGTCGAGTCCGCTATGTCTCATCTCGGCCAGAGATCCAAAGCGATTCGTTTCTATTCAAAACGCGGTTGATGATGTTCTGGGTTTCGTGCCATTCACGCCTCGATCGCTTTCGCTTCTCGCGAGCTAGCGTTGGCATTGGTGGCGTTGATGACGGTCTCGTTGTCGTTGTGGTCGACATTCTTTGTCTCACGCGCTCCTCCCCGACATCGAGCGCCGCCAAGTTGTGGCTTCCTATGAACTTGCTGATTGATGTTGGAAATATTTAAAGGAAGCGCATCGCTCAACAACTTTCAATGCCGCAATGCTTATTCCTTCTTCTTGTTCTGCTTTCTCGTCTCATTCATCCCGAGTGACGTGTTCGCTCGTTGCTGCTGCCGTTCTCATTGACCGCGCCGAGGAGGAACAGCGCACAACATTTCCGATGGGTTTCATGGCAGCAGCGACCACAGCGATAACAAGAACGACGGGTCACATTCTCTCAGATTGAGAAGGACATCGGAATTAATGCTCAAGCGGCAAAGAATTCAGTTCCTTAGCATCAGATACGTCTAGAATTCCGCTCAATTCCAGCTCCGGACCACATCGCTAATGCCACGTCGGCCGTTTCTGGCTTCGCGAAAATGTTCAAAACGAACGTGTGATTTCAAAAACCTTTTCTTCTTTTCCATGAACGAGCCACAGGGCCGGCGAAGACATCTGTCTTACTCGTTGGCGTCGGTCGTCTCGACGGCGGCGCACAACGATGCTCCGCTCGTGGCCGTCGTGCTCTTGTTCTTCAGCATCTTCATAATTTCTTCTGAAATATATTAATCGTCGCAAATTGCTTTATATCCCGATGACGATCACGAGCAAGCGAAAGCTCACCGCAGTCTTGCGTGGCTCCGTATAGGTTTCCATACTGGATCGCCTCGGCGAGAATAATCAGCTGCACTTCAAGAGCGCGCTGCCGCTTCCTAGTGCGCAGGAAACGAGCGAGATCAATTCGTCTTAGTCTGTCTGCTTCGAACGGTTTGATCCACTTCTCGCTCCGCGAATGGTTCGTTTGTGTGTGATCACCGAGATATCATGAAGCTAATTGCTGAATCCTCCGGACTTTATCCCGTGGACCCTCTGATTAACGACTGGGTCCAAGCAAACAAAGCTCATCGAACATGTGGTTCCGGTCTTTTCTGGAAGCAGCGAACGATCTAGATCCAGAGTGCCAGGTCCGTGGAGCTCGCAGCGATGCCGGGACTCGTTCAGCTCGCATCACTTACAGCGAGGGTTACCCGGAGCTCCGCTTTCTCATCGCCTGCCCGTTCGCTGAATCATGTACATACCCATCATACATACATACGTTCCCCCATTCATCTGCTGGCTTGGGAGAGGGAGATTCGGTACGGCGAATATCCTTGCTTTCTTCTCTTCGATGCGTTGTTTCATAGCATACTTCGGAGAAAGCGAATAATTAACCGGCTGTCATCCTTGATCCGATTGAATCGGAATTAGAATTTCGACCCAGCAGTCGCCGCGGGATCGCGACAATAGCGATGTCGCCGGGCATTCGGAGCCGGGTATTATTTCGGCGATGCGATGAAGGGAATATTCTCTCCTCTCGGATCGATGTTCTTGAAATTCATCAACGTGCGCTCATGTGCTCACGAGCGGTCTCGGAACGATTTTTCGTTACGATTGAACCGCACTGAACGCTGGACTAGTTTTCGCTAGCTAGAGCTCAGCGAATAGTCGGCGGGGCGGCGTGTTCGTCAGTAGGAATTTTCGTCGACCCGGTGCGATCGGTACCATTTGAACGAAAACACACACACATTCAACGTGTGTGAGCGGCGTCAGCGGGCCGTAGTTGTCCATCGTGACTCGTAAAACTCCACTCGGCAGCCACGGCAGGGAGGCAAGGAAGCAAACCAATGAGAGGAGAGCCCGCCATGCCAGACTCGCTCACAATGTGTGCAGCAGTTTCAAGAACAGATGAACAGCCGATAGATGGACCCACTATAGGCAGTCACTCATTCTGCTGCCGCTGTCAGCGTAGAAAGTCACATCGAATGGGTAACTGGTGTCGACAAAGACCATGAGTCTTCTTGCTTTTATAATATCGCACGCTCTCTTGATAGCCAGCTAGCGGGTGACCGGCCAAGCGGCAGCCGCGAGCCTAGTCTGCGCGGCGGCGGCGGAAGCGTCCGCCAGCGAGACCCAGTCAATCGATTCATTGTGGCGAACGAACGGGCAAGCTCTAGCCGCTAGGAACGATTCAATCAGTGCTGCTGGGCATTTTTTTTGCTTCCTGCATCATAGAACGCTGCGAGATCCTTACGGTCGGTGCAGAGACGTCACATATTCTCTGAATGGGCGAACGAGGAATGAAAGCCGAGTGGGCACGGAAATCATGACGACGATGATTAGGTCGACGGACAAGGCGAAAGCTGCTGATATTCCGTCGGAGTCGCGCCGCTCATGATCAGACAAAAACACCCAGCGAGGTCCCCACCCAAGCAAGGTGTCTACAACGAGCGCGAGGTTCCGATCTGACCTCTCTCGAAGCCGTCGTCGACGTCAGCAGTGGCGGAGTGGGGGCGGCAGCCGGCAATCCAGTCGAACGAGCATCCGGGCGGGTAGTTTCGGGATGTTGCCGACAGCTATTGAAGCGGAAAAACCGAAACAGAAAAACGAGACTAGATACTTCAAACGCTCATGAGTCGAAGTTCCTGGCGCTGAGAGTGCGTCTTTTGCTCGGCAACGTGCTCGGCGCTAATTTATCAAACGAGGTCTGAGTTAGGGGCTTCGCGGCCCGCCGACATTCAGCGTCAAGTTATCCGGAACTGGAGTTTTATTCCCCCGAAGCGGGGCTCCTCATTCCATCTTTTCGGGAGCTCTGGACGAATGTCGGATCGAAACCCTTCCAATTGCGCTCATGGCATCAATGTGTTCCGAGCGCTC